ACGGGCAGGCAGCCATTCCTCGCCGTGGTTGCACCTTTCGCATCACTCAGCAGCCGGCAAGGGAGAGGAATGCCCTTCGTGACACGTGTCGTTCACATTTGGTCACGGAGGGGAAATGAGGTAGATGCGAACATAGAATCAGTCATAGAATCACAGAATGTTTTGGGTGGGAAGGGACCCCTAGAGGTCATCTAGTCCAACCCCCCCGCAGGAGCAGGGACACCGCTAACCGGATAAGGTTGCTCACAGCCCCGTCACATAACGTACACATAAGCATCACGGGACAGCCAGTGCTGTTTCAATATACATAGCTTTCACTGTTCCCCCTGGCAGCTTTCAGAGAGTCCGTATCAATGCACGCCTTTATTTTCATAGAAACATTTGTAAATGAATAGCAAATAAGCTAATTCACTCTTTGCTTTGGCAGATTGCTCCTAACTTGGGAACAAGGACTCCAGGCGCGGTGCGGTGCGTGACCGGCCAGGCATGACCTGGCACGATGGCCAGGCTGCGGTGTTCCTAACCCACTCCGCATCCTCAAGCACGAAATATTTGTTATTTCAGCATTTCCACCTGTCCTCCACGAAGCCTTTCCTGTGGACATCCCATAAAGTGGCCTCAGCTGAGGCTGGGAGCTGAGACGTAGGAAATGGTTAATCTCTCCAGCCCCAGCTCCGGTTCAGTCTGCTCGGGGAGCAGCTGGGGCTTGTCATCCCCCTCTTTGCATGTTAATATAGTCTTAAGACCTTTCAATCTTAAGGCTGGCTGTATTCACAGTACATTCACACCAGCACTCCGCACATCGGAGACCATCAAAGATGTGTGACAGGGCACCCGAAAAGCAAGGAAAATTGCCGCTGAAGGTAAAGGACAAGTAGAGAAAGCGTTGTATCCCCGCAGTTAAGGGTTGTTAGGCTTCCCCTTCATTTCAGTCTTGTTGATTAAGACTGAAAAATAAGGGTTTGACTGTCACAGTGACCTCTGTAATTGCTTATGTGTACCTGGCTTTCTGGTTTTACCCCCTTCCAGAAAAATCTGTGTGTGGCAGAAAAGCCATGCTAGTCCTGAGTTAAAGAGAAGAGAGATGGGGTTTTAAAAATTTTCTGATGATACAGCAGAAAGATAAAAGATCGCACAATTCTCACGCTTCATTTCTACATTTTACTGTCACCCTTGGCACTGAAGCCCTAGGAATATGCACGCGGGGAACCTTGCCTCAGAAGCAGCAGCATCAGTGGTGCGACACGAAACGACCATTTGCATTCTCGCTTTTGATTTTGCAAAAATAATTTGGTATTTCACGTTTTCTGGGACATAATTTCAGCAATCGCAATTCTGAGCTGCAGAATGCTGTTTTAGACAAGAGGTCAATGTTCTCATCCGAGTACCTGATCCGTGTGTGCAGCTGCAAAACCGTAACTTCCCTGCAAAAGGTGCACTTGTACAAAATTACCAATTAACCCTGTGCCTCCCCGATGTCACACACTTTTACTGAACCATCGCAAACGTGTTCTGCTCAGGAAGGCGATCATCAGAATAAGCACACCTGGTAACACACTCTCGAGAGATTCTTCCCATTGGGGGATCCCAGAACATTTAGTTTTTCTCTAGTCAGGCAGAGAATGAGTTTCCATGTCTTCCTTGTGGCGTGTTAACCACAGACTTAGCTCATCGTCGCTGCCAAAGATGTGCATGAATCTCCGAAGGGGAATTTTTTTTCCAAAGCTAAGAAATCAAAAACAATAGCCTCACAGCCGTATCGGAGAACGAGAGGAAGGAAATTGCCAGGCTGTAATAAAACTCAAGGGAATGAGAAATATATAGAATACACAAAAATACAAGTAAAAACTATTTCGCCGTATGATGATTGTGTATTTTTCCCGCTGGGAGAGGTGAGGAAGTTGAGTTTTACCCTGAGGAATCTGGGATGTCCACATGGTGGTGAAAGGCAAGAGATTAAAAGACATCTTTGGGAGTGTCGGAGAACCCGAACAATTGAAGGAACATACGAGGAGGAGGAGATGTACTTCGTAATTTAGCTGATCTTCTCAAATTCACGGATGTTCGAAGCAGTAACACTTAATCTCCTGAGATCTGTGTAATTAGCAAGACACCTTCAATTCTTATATGTAAAACCACAGGTATTGTTGTTTTTCAATAAATAAAAAATTACGCGATAAGTAATTCAGGCAGAGCGATACAATCCAGACAAAAGGGGAGCAAATTTTCCCTTCCACACAGGCATCCTGCTTGGCCACATCCTTTAATCCCAGCCCTGAAATTACTCACTTGTGAAAGCTTCTTAATTGTGTTTAACTACATAGGCTTTACCGTGTGGAGACGCAGGCTGTAACACCAGTAAGCAGTTAGGATCATGACACTCATTTCCATTGTTCTCCAGGTATTTGGGGAAATAAACCTGACAGCTGAAATAGCCCCTGGTATAATTGCAGCTATTAGAGCCATTACCTACCCAAATTCAGGTATTTTTGGAGCGAGGAACGTCTTGTTTCACGGGTCAGTTGAGCCAAGCAATTCAATTGGAAGAGCAGGTTTGGTTCCTCTCCGCAACCTCTGCCCACCTTACTGCTCCATGCGTCCCTGCTGGCCGATGTATGATAAGCAAGATAATTCGTGTGCAAAAGGAATTTTTAGGCCGCTAATTTTATCCCCATGTTGAGTGCCCACTTCTG